TTTAGTTCGGAAAAAATCCTGAATGCGGGACGTGGGCTTAAAATGAATCTGAAATCAACTTGTGGGTAGTAACGAGGAATTACGAGTTTAATTTGACTTTTTAAAGTTAAGCTTTGTTTATCAATGTATGAAAGACAAGAGTATATAGTAAGTTTGATTACAGTTAGTAGTTTGGGTAGATTAGTGAGTTTCTTAGTTAGAAAAGTATTAGTATTTTTTGTATTATATGTTGTGAGTAGCTGTTATGTTTTAAAGTATCCTGTGTGAACGAAATTTCAGAGTGTAAATTAAAATACGTAGAACACAAGTTGTAAGCTCTGTTTAATAGGCATGTTACCAGATTTATTTTGTATGTGAATAGGATAAAGCTATCAAATTGTGTTATGGATCCAGTAAACGTCTTTTTTCTGAATACTGATATGCCAAATCCGCTAGTGTTATGGCTAATGAGGATGTCTGAAGGAGGTAAATTATTTTTAATTACTACTTCACATGCGAACTTAATGGCAGGATGTTGTGAGTTTAGGTATTTTAAGAATTTAGATCAGTGATCCATATTGTGAAAAAGAATAAAAGTTTACTAGCTTATATACTCGTCTCGACAGCTTCATACTAAACTTTTTCAAACGTAACCTTCTCCTAAATCTTCTAAACAAAGCGTATAATACCTGTTCTGCCTAATTCTGTCTTTACCTTAAACTTTCCAAAATGCATAACACACTACAAAGTTATGTCTATCCCCTCAATTAATTTATTACCCTCTATCCCACAAACATTTTCAAAAATACAATAGAACTTACCAAAATATCCCCTAGTTCTTATCACTATCCCAAATTAGATAATATTTAACAAGACATATTACCGCAAATTGAGTTATGTTTAGTATTTAAACAAACATTTAGACTTCAAAAATTGTTTAAAACCAAAGACCCTATACTCCTTCTTATGCGCTCGTGGATAGTATGTAGTATATACACTTGTGTAAGCTGTAAATCTACTTTTATTAATAAAATTACACGTCATATACAAATACGCGCACGTGAGCATATGGGAATTTAAGTTAAAAGCTAATTAATCCACTTGAATCTTGTATCCAATAGCATAACCATCCCAACCTTGTAACCTTTAGAATTGTTGACTCATGATCTACAGATTACAATCTCTTTATTAAAGAAGGTCTTTATTACTAATTCATCAAACGAAAAACAAATTTCATAGTAAATATTAGAAATACGGTGATACTAAAAAAATATTTAATTACCAAAGATTCGGAATTGGTTCAAATTCCATCATCAGAGGTAAAACATTAAAAGTTAATTCTAACTACAAAAAACAACATCAACAATTAAGCGAGAACTTTTTGATACAACCAAAAGTAACTGTGCGTCAAACATAAGTTTGATAATATTGTTCAAAGAAACTAATAAGTCCTAAAATTTATTATAACAATCACGCTAACTGTAGATGTTTTTATCTCACATTCCTCTTAATTCGTCTAAGGCAGATTAAAAATCAGACACATATAAAAATAGCTTTTCAGGTCTATCTTTGGTCTTCACTAGTCACTGCCCCGAAAGGCATTTTGTCAGTACCAGAATTCGCCAATTATAAAGAAAATATAAAATATGCATATAAACTATTGTGTAATTACAAATTCCAAAAACAAAACAAACAAGAAATGATTCGATTAATGACTACAAGCACAAGATCTTGTTACTATTTATCGTGTGTGAAAATTGGTAAACAGTTTATGAAATGTCTTACCACTAGAGGTCAGCTAGTTAAACATATAATAACATTTGACGGTTCAATGACGGATAAAAAGTGTTTAATCAAATATGGCTAGTAAACGCAATATTACCTTCAGTAAGCCAGCAGAACCATCGTTTTTGAAAAAATTTAAAGAAAGGATAGGGTATCAAGAGGGGCCAACTGTACAAACAAAAGTATTTATGTTATTTGATATTGGTATATTTTATGCTCTTTTCTTTTTAATGTTAAACAAGTAAGTGTTTGTAAATTTTTTTAACATTATTATTAATACTAATACAATTAGTAATGCTATAATTGTGTAACTATAAGAACTATAACTTATAAGTATAAGGTTGAAATTATAATTTAATATATAAACATTATTGGTATTACTATTACTGAAGACTGCGATTTCTATTTCTACCAAGTATTTGTAAGCTTTAGTCTTTAGTTTAGGCCCAAATTTTACAAATACTAAGTAGAATAAGAGATCGCAGTTCTAAGTATAAATAGCAATATTATGATAATTTATAATAATAGCAAAACTTTCATTTTATTTTTAATTCATAAAGTCATAATACTAATAGTCTTATTAACTGGTATTAGGTTATTACATTATACCAAAAATACAGGGTCTGGATTAGTGTAAAAATATCACATGCAGCATAACTTAAGATAATATAACCTCCATGAATTTTCCTTGACCTGTTGATGCTTCATAAACTTTTAAGATGTTGGTCATCCATTTTGTCACATGGTTAGTGTACAATTGAATTAGATTATGACACACATTTGGACACCTCTGTAATAAATTTTCAGATGGTAACATTGTTATGCTAAAACATGGGTTTTGGTGTTAAGTATGAAGCATGAAGTTAACAAACATATACCAGTGGCATCACCTTTCAAGTTTCAAAACTGTATATTCTGCAAATTTTTAAACATGACATCAGTAACAGTGAAACATTGATCATGTCAGAAATTTCACTCAACGGATAAGGCATGTTCAATAATTGTTTGTTGTCCCGTTTTTTGTAAGATTTTCAAAAGATGTTATGTGACATACATAAGAATGTAAGAAGAGCCAGGAAGCTGTTTGGCCCATTGAGATAGCCATAAACCAAACAGAAGAAAATTTACTTTTTATTTATGTAACATATATAGTACTTTACATTTATATATACCTATCCAAAATTAAATAATTCAAGTTGATAGCAGAAGGCTCATCATTAGACATTATTTTGCAACTTTATAACTAATCAAAACTTATGAAAGAACAAGTATACATCTTGGAATTTTTATAAGTTCTAGAGAAAAGTCCAAAATGTCTCGTGGTAGTTAAGCTCTCTTCAGTGAGCCATTATTTTAGTAGCTTGTCTACACTTTCCCCGGCTTGATATCCTATGTGCTTCTCAATATTAAAGCTCATTTTCTGCATTTTAACTTATTCATAAGACCATCAAGGTCATTTTGATAATATCAGCATTTTCAACACAAACCACTCCTCTCAGCATTTTGACATCATGCGTAAATTTACAAATGTAATACAGTCCAAGACGTTATTGAAATAAGTAACATCAATAACAATAAAGATTCTAAAACAGACTTCTGAAAGACCCTCTAGTCACATTTTGAATCATAAAAATGGTCATTAATCCTTATTTTGCACAAAACTTAGATTTGTATCAATTTTGTAACCTCTCCTCTACTTCTCAAAAAATTTGTGTGAGGCTCTTTAGAAAACTTTTTGATAGCCAGGGTAACCTAATCCAAAAAGGCAGAGGCCCATTAAAAAATAAACTCCTCTTATAAGACTGCTGAGAACTGTTAATTTAGTGCCAACATTCCTAATGCTCTACTTCATTATTTCTAACAACAGTTATGATACAAGTCAAGTTAACTGTTGTAGTTTACCAGATTCTACATAGAATCCTTAACTTAAAAATGGTGATCACATTTGTGGTCTTTCCATCAACAGAATTTTCCCCAGTGTCAAACTTCTGAAAAATAAGTTGAAACCTACTGTAGCTCATTGCTAAGCTTCTTCAAAGTTTTAGAATGAATGTCATCAGGGCCATGAGCTTTATTTTTACACATTTCACAAACCTTTTTTGTACATACTCTTGATAAAAAGAGTGGCTATATCACTTATTTTGTTCTCTCATTAATACATTAAGGGTAAGCCAAATGTTAGGATAGGGTAGGCCTTTTGAGAGATGTAAACCGGCTTCCAATCCTCTGGCACATGCCCACTATTCAAGGACTTACAAAAACTAGTCCAATCTTCAGGTATTTTTCAAAGCTTTGATGTTAATATTATCTGGCCTTAGAGCCGTATTATTCTTTCAAATGTTTACTTAATGAGCTCAGAAGTAATGTAATTGTATTGTTGGTTGTGCTGTTCTTTCTACTGAGGCTAGTAATTGTCCAAGATAAAGAATATTGCTCAAAGTATTTGTAAAAATTGAAAAAAAAATTATAGAAGAACCAAGCCATCTCACAATAATTAGAAAGAAGTTTTCCTTTATTGTTACTTCTCTTTTGAAAACAAAAATTGTTCCAGTAATTATAGGACTATTTGTCTTACATCAGTTGCAGGAAAAGTTTTGAAAGTCTTTTAAAAGATGCTTTGCAAAGTCATTTAACAAAGTTTAGAATGTTCTCTGAAGAGATTACTGCATATGAAGATAATGGTTAGGGTGTGGAGGATAAGTTAGCTCATTGGAAAGAAAAGTAGGTGGATGGATGAAAGCAAAGGGTTGTTTTAAATGGAGTTTTGACATCATAGCGGTGAGTGTATTCATGAATGACATAAGTATGTATCTGTATCTGTATCCAGTGATTGTTTCCTAGAAAGGATCGAACCGTTTGGTCATGATGCTTAATCTTACATTAGTAGCTGAACTCCTGACCTAGCACAGGTTCAGTTGAGTTGGAGTTTACAATCCTGTCATGATAATGGAGACATGAATTTAGTGAACTACCTGATCAGCTATTGTGTTTACAAGAGGACCATGATGATTCAACTGGGAAACTTTGGATTAACATGTCAAAACATGCATTACCATTACAAAGCAACATCTTGGTTGGCTGCCAACAATGTATTGTTCAAGTTCTGCCTTATCAACTACTGAAGATAAGTTGTGCACCTATCATTCCAGCATCTGACCGTGGGAGAATAATCCCAAGAAGACCATGAAAGGAAGCCAAGTAATCTGATCAAGTCACTTCTACCACAATAACTACAGAATTGTAAATATCTTAGAAATTTTGAATTTTGTTTATAACCGGCCATCATAATCATTGTATTCCATCATGATTTTAATTTTGTGTATTATATTTTTGGAGTTAATGTATTTTGTTTCAATTTAACTTGAGTTATATTTTATTTGACTGGGTACTAGGAATTTTGTATCCTCGTTTCTTATTTTATGTAGGTGTCACTAGAAGAATATGATTATAGCTTTTTGCAACCTGTAATTAACTTACTAAACTAAACTTGGCTAGTAATATTTAAATTTAATGGTCATATTTAGAAGACCCTGAAATGGGGAGTGGTCATAGCTGAAATAATTATTAATTTCACTTTTCTATAACTATTATAGAATTATTATTTTTTATTCAGATAACATTTCTAAATTTCTATGTAGTTTATCACGTCTGTGTTGACCAAATATTGCAAAGTAGTAAATATTGGTGAAGGTTACATAATCTAAAGTTTGCAAGTAAGTAATTTTGTACTGATGTTTTTACAAGTGGGTAATTAAGAAACATGTAGAAATTGGCTTGGAACGGTTTGGTATTGTGTGTAAACTATTTGATGAAGTATGTAACTTAATGGCTTATGGGATACTGCACTGTTTTACCTGATTAGAAAAGTGGTGTATTCATACAAGTCTCTCATTCTTGATGTGTTTGATTTATCTTGTCTTGAAGACTTCACTTTACCCCAGCAGCCAGATGAAGTCAAAAGAATGTTTTATAACCTAAACACAGAGATTATTGTTAATAAACATTTATTTGTCAACTTGTGTTTGTCTTTTTTTTTCCTTTGCTGTCAATGTTCAGTTTATTCTTCACTAAACAACCCTGAATTTGCATGATTGCAGATTATTTTTAATTACTTGCTGGATATCAATATATCTAAAAGCAACTTTGTAATCTTTCTTTACATACTTCTTTGTATGTGTTGAAATCGTTTATCTTGGAAATCAGGTTTATTTAGATATTGAAGAAAATTTCATATTATATAAACTTATTTTTATATTTTTATATATATACCGGGGTGGAGAACAAGTTTTTGTGTTTGTGTTTAGGGTTAAATTATTAGGTCTTGTACAATTATCTGCTTTGATTTCTCAGCTTTTTGTATTGATTATTTATTTTTAATAGAAACAATTACTACCTGTTGATGATACAAGTGATGAAGAACGAGATGATGAAAAACCTTTGGTGGTTGTCTTAGAAAAAGGTGATTTAACATCTGAAGAAGCAGAAAATTACAAGTATTCAAATAAACCCGCTACAGATGATGAAGAAGGTATAGAAAACTTTTAAACTGAACTAACTTCCTAAATTAACTAAATGGCCAGGGCTAACTTGTGTATAACTTGAACTTTTGTTCATTGGCTAGTAGTTTGGAATGATTAAAGCATATAAATTTCAGGTAATATAACTTAGCATCTATACATTATTTTGTTCTAAATTTAAAAAAAAAGCCAAAGAATTTCAACAAAATATCTTAATATTTGTTTGTTTTTTGCTTGCAGTAATGTTCAGAAATTTTTAACTTAACAATAAGGATTAAAGTTTTAATAATCTTGTATAAAACTACAGTGAGTCATCATTTGAAATACTGTGTGCAGTTTTGGTCTCCTTTACCGAAAGGATATAACAGACAAGCAAAAAAGCACTGCCCCATTGGTCATGACAAGATGCCTGATTTTTGACATGCCCATAAGTCATGACTGCAGTAACATCTGAACACTTTTTGTATCTGTAACATTTTATGGCCATGTTAGTTTTGTGAGCTGGGGATGATGTAAATTCAGAAACTTTTACTTGCCTCTTCACAACAGAGAGCTATTACTTCATTCCATTGCCATGATGCTTTTTGTGCATGTCACAAGCCTTAAATAAAGGTTTCACCTTTACATGCATCAATATGCAATGCACCAGTCTATGATGTAATCCTCATTAGACTATTGCCCTCCACCAACAGGAGGGTGACACATACTACTTGGGCAGTAATCCCCGTGAGCATCAGCATTAGAACAAAGTTTCTTTAATTCCTTGGCATTGCTTTGTCCAGATGTGTTTTTATTTGGCATTAACAGACATTTTGTGTTAATTATTTTAAATTTTTGTTACCAATTCATAGTGTAGTTCTTTTCCTTAAATTTCTGGTTTATAAGAAAGAATGATACCAAATTTTAAACATTTAAGTTAGAACTTTGATTTGAGTTATCTTCAATTTGTATTTTCCTTTTAACCCTTTCACTGCAGCTGGGACATGTATTTCCCATGTGTGTGTGTAAAGTCAGTTTTGTGGATCATCTGGATTATGATTTCGTGTTTTCACATTTTGACATCTCCTGAGGTTCTGACATTCCTGAACAGGAGTCATCCAATACTGTAATTGTGACTAAAGTTACTCCGACAGTCAGTGATGTTACTGCCATTGTATACTGGGTAGTTGATACCATACTGATCTTGGATCCAGGATTCCTGATTTCCTTATTCTCTTAGAGTAGCTGAGCTTGCCCCATCTTTTGAGTTTAATCAATGTTGTTCTCACAACTGCTTAGCTTCTAATATATTCTTCCTGAGGAAAAACAGATAATCCCACCTTCATTCTGTTGTTTGGGTTACACACACAGGTATGTGTCTCTTGTTTTCACTTTCTCCAGCTGTTTTTTGCTGAACCTTGGACTACCTTTTGCACGAGCCTCCATCAATCAAGTCTCTTCATTCACTTTGGGCATCTGCTCTCACTCTCCTATTTGTCTTGATATTTTACTCGACTTCTTCACTAGTATCACCCTCCTTTAGAGTTTTTTTTTTATCATGACTCTGTCAACTTTACTGGGGAAAATTACATATACATGTTTCTCACTTTGCTCTTGATTTGCTTTTGTTGCGTCCCAATTAACTTGGTTTCTTTGTTACTGGGATGTATTTTGTTAGGATGCCTTACTTTCTGACACTTGCACCCTTCTATGTTCTCTCAAGGACTTTTGTGTTAACCCTTTCTTTGAGGGACCTTTATGTTGACCCTTTCTTAGAGATGATATTTTTTTTAGGTGTTTCTTATACTTTTTGGACCAGGGGGCCACACTGGCTTTCTATTCCTCTACAGCCTCATGGGGTTGCCTTTCTCCTGTTCCCAGTCCTCATGTTAGTATCCCCCCTCTCTGGAGGCTGTCATTTCTGGGACTTGAAGGCAACCTGTTTCTGGAGCTACCCCTTGGCTCTAATCCAGTGGGAGTTCTACTTTCCAACTTTTTTACACCTATGGGCTTCTTTAACCCAGATTCCTGGGCTACTCAGGAGTTTCTCTCTATTCTTCCAATCCCTACCTCACCTGATTATAATACCATGCAACAATTTTCTTGACCCCATACTGGGGTTTTACTCCTGTCTGTCAGTTATTTCCATGAAGACAGGAGATTGGCAACCTGTCATAGCTCTATTTTGCTTCAACCAACTTTAGTTGTTTCCAGATTCTACATGGATGTTTTTAGCACTCTTTGATGGGTACATTCCTGGGATGTAGATGATCAGAATAGATGTCTTGGATGCTTTTTCCTCATCCCAATTTGTTTATGTGAAAATTCTCTTCACAACCCTGTGCTTGAGATTGGCTATGGCCCTGTATGTATTCAGTTCTTTAGCTCAGAGGTTGCATTCCTTAGGCCAACTGTTCCATTACTCTATGGACATTTGGCCTCTACCTGCCCCCTTCAATGAGGCATCAGTTGTTGTTACTGCCCTTCTCCTTCAGGAATTGTCCCATTTGGGTGGCTAGTTCAGCTCTATAATTCAGTCTTTATCCCCACCCAGTATCTCATTCATTTAAGGTTTTTTCCCTCAATTTTTTAATAGGGAAGACTCCAGTGTCTCCTAATTTTCCTATGCATGAGGATTTTTCTTTTTTATTTGGGTGGGGGAGGGGAGAGACTTTCATCTCTTGAGTCACTTGATTCTCTTGTGCTTGCATCCCCTTTCAGTAGACTGGCCAATCAATATACTGTATTCAGAGATCCAATATCTTCTTTTCACCTCTCATTGTCGTGGTGGTCACTTGATCCCACACGACTGTGGACATCTCTCTTCCCCTACCTCACCCAGATTTGCATCTGTTCTGAGTCCCCAGGACTCAGCAGTACATCTGAGGGATTTTAATCCTCACCTCAACTCAACATAGGTGTTCCATTCTGTAGCTTTGTGCTTCATGATAACAAAACCTGTCAACTAACACCTCAATTTAAATGGGTTGGAGTTCTCAACAAATGATCCATTTTTGGAGTCTGGTCTTTAGAGGAGCAATTTCTTTATAATCCACATCCTCGAGATGTTGGTTACTCAACAAGCTTGCCATCATCTTTCATTTCTTCCATCCACCAGTATGTAAACACTTGATTTCAGGACCTCTGTTTTTGTTGCACTAGACTTACTCTTTTGAGTCCATGGCTACAACATTAAATTGTTGGTCTATCATATTTCAGGAGCTTAGAAACCCTGGTGGCAGATAAGTTATCTTCCCTGGACTTGATCTTTCCCACAGAGTGGTCTCTACATCCTCTAGTGTTTTTAGTAGGTTTTATGGATGGCAGTCGTATCATCATTGCATATCTGATTCCATTAACACCTAGCTTCCACTCCTTTGGTTTCCAATCCCAGATTCTACAGCTCTGGTAGTGAATAATGATAATTTATTTAAGTATTTCTATTTGAAATTAAGAAATTTAAACTTAGATAATATGAAAATCCAAATTATAAACTATGTTTTAAAGCCACGTTTATTGACACACATTGATAATAGTTATTTAATCAAATTTTAAATGAAACTCTAAAATTTCCCAGTTTGACAAAACATGACATGTAAAACTTAACATTTTCCTATTTATGGCAGCTTTTCAAGTACTCCAGGAAATCTTTGTAATCTTTTCTTCATTTAATCAATTCTAAGAAATCGACACAGATGTTTGTTGTTCCGTCTTTCTGTATAAAAACTTTTCTTCGTATATATAGATATGTCTTTTATTATTGAAATAACCAGAAAGCTCATAAAACTCTCCATTAACTCAACCACAGTATGTATGTGAATATGTTTGTAAGAAACTAACTTAACCTAGAATTACTAACAGGACTCAATCCCAGACTGAATGAAATAATTTTCTTATGCAAATAGGCTTACTAATTATTAATTTTTATATAATTACTTAATAACCATTTCCTTTATAGGCTAGCTTTATTTCTTAATATCAATTAAGCGTATCTACAAGAAAAAAGAAAGAAATTATATTGGTTATACAAGTTTTTTTAAGTTTATTATATTCGTCAGGAACTTAAATAATGTCCTTAATAATCGTTCAATAATAGTACAATAGATTTTTTATTACATTATTAAATAATGTGATATAGAAATCGTATATACGTGCAGTCCATCAGTGTTTGCATTAATCAAAACATTTAACATGCATCTGTTTTTAGATGGGCTGAAACACTAAAATAATTTTGTACATGAGGTATTCCAAATTATCAAAATATTTTTATAGCTTTTTTTAGATAGATGGTTGTACTGTCCGTTTACTTTCATTTATTCATAATACTGCATTCAAAAACTTGTTATAAATTTTACCTGTTTCAATAATCCAGTGAAATGATGGGAATTGTTGGACAAATAATCTGACTGCTACGGATACGCCACCTTGCTAAAGTAAGTGGAATAAAACCTAATTTACCTTAGTCCAAACTTGAAGTTGTGAGCAAATGCACCAATTAAACTATATACATTCTGAGAACCATCCGTGGTTGTTTCTTCTGAATTAAAAGTTGTTTATTTCTGACAAATTTGTTTCAATTTAGTTTACAGTTTTCTTCTGAGTTTGAGAATACTGACTTTTAGTGACACATTAAAATACTGCTATCTGTATTTAAATAATAAAGATATTTAACATCTCTTGCATTAGTAACTATTCTAAAAGACATTTTCCACTTCCTGTACTAATAAGCTTTACTCGTGATACAAATAGATTTCTTTCACTTTTAAACTAGAGGTAAACACTAAAAAACTTAGAGCCAGCCCTTATCATTTAACTATTATAATGTTAAACAGGAAAGAAGTTGATGCATCAATGCTACCAATTCCCTTAATTAACATCTTAAAAACTTCAATCAGATCCCCTTTAACTATTTCTATTTCAAGAGAAAACAACTTTAGAGATTTCAGTCTATCCTCATATGACAAGCTTTCCATCCTATGTATCAACCTAGTACTCCCACTCTGAACCCTTTCCAACAAGTCAGTGTCCTTTCTAAGGTAAAGAGCCCAAGACTGACCACAGTGCTCAAACTGTGACCTAACCAATGACCCACACTATGACATTAAACCCTGTATTCAATATTTCCATTAATACAACCCAAAATCCCATTGGCCTTGTCACTAGCAAAAGCACATGGCTTGGATGGCTTAAGAGATTGATGAATCACAACATCAAGATCTTTTTCTTCCTTAACACTGTTAAGGTTATTCCCATCAAAATTATACTTAATAATTCAAAATGTGATATCCCACAAAAACATGAAATAGTCTTTTAATAACACCAAGTACTTTTTCATAGACTTTTTCTATTTTTACTGCAGTGTTTCATCACATTAATGAAATATTCAATTTATATATATACACACACACACCTTTGATTTATGACTTCATATAATCCATTTTATGTTACATTTATGATTGTGAGTAATTTCTTTTATTAACTGTCAGGTCTTTGTGGCGAGAAAATTCTTTTCAAAAAGCCAACTAAACGAAGCATAAAAAATGATGAAAACCCTACCAAAAGCTGTACTAAAAAGAAGACAAAAGATAAAGACACTAATCAACCTAAGAAGGTCAAAAATAGCTGTCTGCTTTCGTTTGATGAGGATGAAGAAGAAGGATGATTGTCTAGTTTGTTTTAAGGAAGACAAGAATGTTTTTAGATGCAAATGTAAATTAAAGTTAAATCCAATTTTTCATGAATTGTTTTGAGTCTTTTTATGTTATCCGAGCTTCAAGAAAAAAAATACGTTTGTGAGCTTTATATTAATTTTGCATTTTCAGAGTACGAGATGTGGAAGGTAATATAAATTTTTGCAGTACATGTCTAAAATAATATTTTAAAAAGTAGTAACTAGTATCATTGTGATTATTAATAATCTCTCTCTTCTGGATGGTGATTAGCAGTGAACCACATCTTATTTTAATTTCGATGACGAGGAAATGTACAATGTTTCAACAAGGTTTTGTCATCTTATTTTGATATACATAGAACTAGTTCTACATAATGAATACGTATTCAGTGAACTCTTTCATCCAAGAATTAACACACTGAACTTAGTTTAAAGATTTTATAAAAGTTCAAACAAGATGCTCTATAAACCCAACGGACCTTGTAAGAATACGATCTTGTTAAATAATATGACCAGGGCATAACAGAAGTTGTTTTTTAATTCACTAGCCCAGAACAAGAGAATCTGTCATCATTCTGCCCACACAACTACACCTATGTAATATTTCGTATCAGTAAATTATAAAGCATGAACCTGTGGACAGAATGATGACAAATTCTGTGGTTCAAATATTACATAGGTGTGGTTGCCATATTAGTAAATTATAAACCATGAACC